CTCGTGACAGTACTGCAGCAGGCAACAGTCCCACTGACATACTTTTCTGTTCAAGTCACCGTAACTATCCATGGGACTGTTGCCCGCTGCTGTGCTGTCCACGAGAATCGGGGAATTCGTGAGCCAGGGGGAGTGTAGCCAATCTAGGGGGTGGGGGTGAGGGCAGTCACTTGACATGCGTGAAAAGCTGGACGTGCCCATCCCACTTGTATAGAGCCGCAGTTACTATTTCGCCATCACAGCACCAAAATAGAATTAAGTTGTGTGGGCGTCTAGAACATGTTGGCAAAGATGGAGCTGACTTATGGATTTTCTCAACAATTTCGGGGCTATTAAAACCTTGACTTAAGAATTATTACAACCGCGAAAAAATGTTTGAACCTCATTTACAATTAGAGATTAGTGCCTGCCTTACACTTTCACCTTGGTTACATTCGTCGTTGAAGTATTTTGCACTACGTTTGTTGTAAGCGCATTTAACTGTTTGCGAACGTAACATTCCTTCCCAACACGATAGCATTTTGGAACCAATTTTGAGTTGAATTGGTGCCGCATTGTTGAAATGGTACCAAACTGGTATCAACTGCTGTGGCGCATGAATAAATGTCACGTCCATGCACAAGACGTCAGAGTACCGCTTTAGTGGAGCTTAGAGCAAATTCTGTGGAAACGGATAAGGTGCGAAATGGGAATGTCACCAAACACGAGTGTTGTAATTGTAATCTAGGCGATGAATACCTGCTAGGCAAGCGATGCTTCGACGAATTTTTTGAGGGTCTATTGTTGAGTAGTTGAGTTATGCAGTTTTCTTTTGGTAGGGAATCTAGCACCTGTCCAAAGGGTTTTCCGTTCTACTATTATCATTCATTTTATAGCGCAAAGTAAACGATGCTAGGCTTTTTCTCGTTAATTCGCAACGTTGTAATGTCACAGCATTAGTCATCGCGAAATGTCAAAAGGGTGGTTGTTCGGAAGAAGCAATATGAAAATGTTCTTTGAACATGAATTAGATTAGATGTTTGGGTGTTTGTGAGGTGAGATTTCTCCGAATATATGTAGAGTGAGTCCATAAACATAAAAATCCATAAATGTTTATTATGTAAAGTTTCTTCGAAGTGCTGTTTTCTGTTTCGGAACAGAAGAATATTTCTTTCGAATTTACGGCTCAGAAAAAGGAGCGTAAATTGAGTCTACTGGCAAACCTCTATTCTCTCAAAGTTTTCCAAGCTCTCTTCCCGTTTTGCAGTGGTCAAGGC